AAAAATGACTCTCCAAAGGGCCCCAGGAAGGGAAAGTAGTTAACATCTCCTGGGAAAACTAGGAGAGGGATAGAAGAGGAACATGGGGGATGGGAACATGAGGGATCAAGAGGACCAAGTTAGGGGAGGGAAGGGGGGAGACCAATGAATGAGATATCTTGTTAGAGGGAGCCATTGTGGGGTTAGTGAGATACCTGGTTCTGGAGAAATTCTCAGGAATCCACAAGAATGACCCCAGCTAAGACTCCTATCAATAGTAGAGAGGGTGTCTGAATGTGTGTTCCCCTTTAATCAGATTAGTGTCGACCCTAATTGTCATCATAGAACCTACATCCAATAACCAATGGTAGCAGACACAGTGACCCATAGCCAAGCACTGAAATGAGCTCCTGGAGTTCAATTAAAGAGAGGGAGGAGGGGTCATATGAACAAGGGGGAGTCAAGATCATGATAGCGAAAACCACAGAGCCAGCTGACCCAAGCTAGTGAGAACTCAGACTATGGACTGACAACTGGGGAACCTGCATGGGACCAAACAGGGTGCTCTGAATGCGGGTGACAGATATGTGACTTGATCTATTGGAGCAGGGGGTGGGTGACCCTGGCAGTGACACACCAGGACCTATCCAAGGTGCATGACTGGCTTTTTGGAGCCCATTACCTATGATGGGATACCTTGCTCAGCCATGATACAAGGGGGTGGAGCTTGGTCCTGCCTCAACTTGGTATGCCAGACTTTGTTGACTCCCCAAGGAAGGGGACAGGTGGGGGCAGGAGAAGGGGAGGGAGGGGGAACTGGGGTTGGTATGTAAAATGAAAAATAATTTTATTTTAAATAAAAGGAAATTACTGTCCAGGGATGACCCTTTGGTATCGGATAAGCCATATATGTGCACTTCCCTAGGGAAGACTGTTTCTCCTACTCTCAGCATTACTTAGTTGCCTTTAGTTCTTCCTGTAGGGTTGAGGCCTATTAGGCTTCCCCTTGAACACATTAGCATGTCTATTGTCATTGTGTGTGTGTGTGTGTGTGTGTGTGTGTGTGTGTGTAGTTAATAAAAAGAGGCCATGAAAACTTGATATGCCAATTTTCCATGCTTGGTTGATACCCATGGGAGGCCTGCCCCTTTCTGAACAGAAACAGAGGGGGAGTAGATAGAGGAAGGGTGGAGGGGAGGAGAGGGGAGGGAATAGGTGGAGAGGAGGAGAGGGGAGGGAATAGGTGGAGAGGAGGGAAGAGAAACTGCAATCAGGTTGTAAAATAAATAGGCCTTGAATTTGAAAAGAGGGTTTAGAATGATGGAGGTGGGAGGATGCAATTATATTATAATCTCAAAAAAACACAGAAGAATTAATTTTAAAACTTACTCTCTCGTGCTCCCCGGGTGAGGGGACAGGCCTGCTCTCCCAGAGTGTTGCAGCTGGTAGGGGGCACAGCACTTGGCCAAGTGGACCCTGCACCTCACCTGGGCAGCACAGTAGAGCTGACTCTGTTGCAGGAGGTGTGAATGAGCCAGCTCCGACCTTGTGAGCTTGGGAGAGCTGTCTCTGCTCCTCATCAGGTGCAGCACTTGGAAGAGTGGCCCCTACATCTTGCCATGGAAACACAGTAGAGTGGGCCCTGAAGGTGTAGGTATAGGAGAACTGACTCTGAGGACTTGATTTAGGGAGAAATGGCCCTGCCCCTTTGCTCATCACTGCAAGGAGTGAATGAGCTAGCCAGGGCAATGCTGAGAGCTCACCCTGGTGCCTCAGAGAGCTAGCTGGTGGGCTCACAAACCCCATACCTACCCAGGCCCAGAACCACAGTTCTATGTTGGCCCACCCCAACATCTACCCCATCTGTGATCTCCTGGAGTACAGGCATAGACAGAATTTTGGATCCAAGATCTCTATGTCACAGCGCAACAAAGGGATGTCCAGGAAGTGTCCCAGTGAGCTCCAAGATTCAATGGTGTAGCAGAGACCGGGGACCTTTAACAAGACCAATGGCTCTTTGAGATAAACTCCTGCATGTAAATATCTGTGGATAAAAGGGTTTCTTTGTGACTTACTATATCGATGTCGAGTGAGGGAAGGGGATGGGTAAGACCAAGAGACATGATGTGAAAGACACAAAGAATAAAGAAAAAGTAAGTTAAGAATATTATTCTCCAACTACATGTAAGGCAATACCTTAGTTTGCTCCCAGTGTCGAGTTCTATGATAACTAGTGATACTGGGCACTTTGATGTTGTTGTGAATTATTGTAATATTGATGTTTACTGCTGAAATGACTGTGTTATAAATATGATTCCTATATAAATTTGATGTGGAATACACACACAGTTATGTTACTTTACAGGCGATCACCCCCTGTAAATTTTCATTACATTAAGAATTGCAACTGCTTTCTCTATAGAAGTGCCTAAGATACACACTGCTTCAAATGTGTACCTGCACATACAGAGAATTATCTAGAGCCAGGTGCCCTGCAGCAGAACCACATTTCTGTGCCTTTTGTGACTGCTGTTTCATCATGTCATTTAGCTTCTCCCATGACAGAGACTCTCCCCACTATCACAGTGTGACTGAAACAGTGACCCAGGTGATTCCTTTCACCATGGTAACATGGTGGTATCTCACATCTACACAGTCCTTTTCTTCCACCTGTAACATCATCTATAAATGCTAAACTGACTTAAATAAGTCATTACTTTTTTCTCTCATGCTTGTCTTATGTTGTAAATCTGCCATGTGGATGCTGCTGTATAGTTCCTTTTCTTTCTTCGTTCGACTTTGCCCCACCATTTCTTTCAAGAACTGATTCAAACTATGTTTGTGCTCAGATGTCCTCCCTGGTGCAGGAAAGCTGGGGGAAAATTTCCAGTCCAGGTCTTAGCTCACTTCATATATTCTAATTTACATCACTTTCCATGTCATCATCGTCTCTTTATAATTTCCATGTTGTTTCCATTCTGAACATTTTCTCAAAGTAATAAGACTTAGCGCTTTAATAGTTTTGTTTTAAAATCTCAATTTCAGAAATACAGAGTATGGAATACATCTAGTGCTTCTTTTAAAAATTAAATAAATTCCAAGATTGACTCATGTAATGAAGACAATACATGATTCCTAACCCAGTGTTTCTGCACTCATCTTTTTCTTGATAAAAGTATCTTGCAGAAATTCAGTCTGACTAGTACACTTACTAGTCAGTCATTTGAGCGGTTTCACGGAGTGTTGGCTGCCAAGGAGCACTGTGCTCTGTGCACACTGTTTTGATTATCAGTTACACTTTAACAAACCTTCCCAAGCTTAGGGCAGGAACACAAATGTGCTTGCTCCAGATGCTGTGATCAGAGAATATAAGTGGGGCGTATGGGGGGAGCTCTCCCATCATTTGTGGCATTAACCAAGGTCATTCACTCTGTCAGCTGATCTCGGAAGAAAAGTTCAAGACCATTTCTCTCATGTATCTGCCAACTCAGTGTGCCTCTGTGCAGCTCCTGTCTCTCCAGCTGGCCAGCTTGGGCTTTCTCATAGCATGGTTGTCATAATTGCAGTCAAACATCATCTATGGAAGCCGGTGTCTCAGAGGTACTTCTGTTTATTAAAAGGACCAGCAGCTGAAGATCTCCTAAGACTCAGCCTGCAGAAGCTTGAAATTAAAAAGTTCCAGTCTCCCCACTCCTAACTCCTCCCTTTTATTAGTAGAAATGGGTCACTGGCCAGTCCAGACTCCAGGGGAGGTAGAGAAATGACCGTTTCTTCCTAAAGGCTGGAGTTGTGGGGATGGCAAGTCTAATGGACTACTTAAACTTGTTTCGTCCGGATTAACTGCTTCCCAGGAGCTGTGGAGTATCAGTAGTTATTGTTTGATTTCTTGACACTCCCATAGATTGATGGTGGGCTTTGCTGAGACTGCCTCCAAAGACTTTTGTCACCTTTCACTTTAAGTTGTTGAACACAAACTAGAGGCATGCAAGTAATTTAACACCTGCCTCCAAAAAGGAGCCCAGAAGGAAAAAAGAAAAAGAAAAGAAAGAGTCCATACAAATCCCCTGCTATGTAGATTAATCTCAGTAAAGAAAAGCTGCTGGATACCGTTGCCTTCACAAAAAAATGTTTCAGACTACTCTAACACATAGCACAGGCTTACTCTTTTCTTTAAACAGTTGTGAGAGCCTTTAAGTAAACTCAACTGCACATCCCTACAGAATATACACTCCCTTCTGATAGAATGAAGAGTTCTTGATTGAATCTCTACAAAGGAAGAAAATGAGAGACATGAAGTATGACCCTTATGCACAGTTTATTCCTCCCAGACAAACTGAAATTTCATTCCCTGTGCATCATTAACCCTAGGGTTAGATACTGACATTTCCAAATGTCCCCATTCTAAATTAGGGCAAAAAGGATGGTCTTGTTTTTGTTATTGTTGTGTGTAGCCCTGGTGTGTGTGTGTGTGTGTGTGTGTGTGAGAGAGAGAGAGAGAGAGAGACAGACAGACAGACAGACAGACAGACAGACAGAGACAGAGACAGAGAGAGAGCTCTCAAAATCACGTATGCATTCACATGTATGAATATGCTAATCAAAAGTTTCTATACCAACATTTCACCCCATTTTGTCTGTGTTTTTCTGTTAATGCAACAATTTCAAAGGATCATTTTATATTTCAGCAGAGAAATCAGATTAAGCCTATCAATTACAAGTAAAAGAAAACAAAAGTCACATTTGATTTCCTTGTTATTTCTTCCTGACCACAAAAGGAAAATGAAGGCGGCCTGGACCCTGGGGATGGGCACGATTTTCTACTTAGTTGACAATTATCTCTTTTAACCTTACCCCACTTCCTAGAGACCCTTCCCTTATTTCACTTATGCAAAAAAATTCAGTCACCTCCACTGAACTCCCCTTTACTCTCCTTTTCATTTAAGTTGCTTATAATTACTGTATGAAACAACAGATTTCATTAGACCATCATATACATGCATATCATTACACACAGTGTCTTTTCTGCACAGATGGCTCATTTCAACATTTTGTTCAGGGCTGTAGACTCAAGGAGTTGGGTAAGAACTAAGTCAACACCACCCACTAGGTTCATTAGGACCATTAAACACCTCAGGTAAGGAGTATTTTGTGATTTCCTCTCAAGTCATATTAAACTAACAAATTAAAATGAAGGATGTCCTCTCGGGCTATGTGCTTCCTGTACTGCTGCTTCATCAAGCCTTGATCTGATCCTGAGTTCCCTGTTGTCTCAAACAAACAGGAAGTCCTGTGGGGCTGAGCAGGGTTATGGTAATGACAACTGCCACTGCTGAGTTTACATTTATCATCTTCTTCTAATTGTCCCCAATTAGAAGCCACTAGGAACACATGACAGAACACTGATAAGTGAAAATAATGTTTCATTGAACAGGATGCTTGAACGAGTGAAATATTACAATGGGCTTAATTAGACAGGGGAAAATTAGTTTGCTCAAGTTTATACATTGGGCAGAACATAACTGAAAGCAGAAGGCATACAATAATGAAGGATAAAATCTAATGGTATTTAGATAGGAATATACAGACATTAAGAGAGAATGGCTGTCATCACCAATGGCTCTGCCTTTTCCTGTCCTTCTGCCCCTTCTCTTCTGTGATGATCTCTGAGCCTTGGTGAAAGGAAGAGGGAGATAGGCATGCGTGAACACACAGCAGTTGTGATGGCATGAACAAGACGTTTGCAAGATCGAGCCAGACAAAAGTCCTAGCCTGGATCGGAGAGAATATGAGAAAGTCTCACCCGGACCTGGGGATACATTGTCAATCAATGGCTGCTAGAGGAAGGATAATCACTTGTCTTCCAGGAGATAGCCCACACCCATGAGCACAGCAGCAGGAAGGAGTGCATCTAATCAAAACATCATATATGCATGTATGGAATTCTCAATAGATAGCTAAAGAACCAGAAGAAAAAGAAAAAAATGGCTGTGTAAATTTAGGTGTGTAAAATATAAAATAAAAATTCCCTGGTGCTATAAATGATTCCATTGGGGGGCTGTTAAGTATAGTTAGTGTTCTTAAAGTATTGATCACCTAGGGTGATAGGGGCAGGTCATAGCATGCCAGATTGGTGAACTATTTTATTCCCAACAAGGTTTTGTCAATCACAACTTTTACTCAGTGGGTTAATTATTTATTCCAGCCATGCTTTATGACAAAGATAATGAAGGGTTTACTCCCTTTTTTTCCCAGTAAGTGTCCAAATAAGATGGACTTCTTCAAAAACAAAAGTAAAGGATCCAATTAGGGAGAGGAAGCTCTGCTCTGTATTTACTGTGGTGACTCCCACCCCTGAACACAATGACTCATGAGTGGCAGTCCCCAAACCCCAAGTTTCCTGGGCTACAAGATAGAAGTTTCTGGATCTCTGTCTTCAAGGAGCTCATAGTTCATCAAAGCCGAATACAAAGTGTCTCAATATGCTTTGATACGTGATAAAGCAAGGCTGGGGTCTCAGAGATGCAGAGCCTGGCTCATCTATACCTCACTGAATCATACATACCGAAAATGGACATCTGAGATAAGGTCCTCAAGGCAGGTTGGGGGTGTCTCCACAGACCTACCAGGGCTCTTCAGAAGAGCTGGGGTTTGCTCTCACATCAGTGGACAATCTCTGGCAGCTTCTGAGCTGGGGTTGCTTGATTAGATTCTGTTTAGAAAATCAATTCCAATAATGCTGTGCATAATTGATTGGAGTAGAATCACTACCAGCCTAAGGAGGCGCAGCTAGATACAGTGAAACTGAAAAGAGGCATGAAGTTCTGTTAGTACTCTGCCCCTCAGAACTTCATGTCATCTAGTTGCCATGCCATCAATCAGTCACACATCATGTTGTCATAATCGACAAAGCCCAGTCCATGTGTAAGCTATAGTATACAAAAGGTTTGGGGAAAGGTGCTACTGAAGGTATTTAAGGGACTTGAGGGATGGCATGGCTCAGTTGGTAGCACACTTATCTTGCAAGCACAAGAATATGAGTATCTGGGACTGGAGAGATGGCTCAGAGGTTAAGACCACTGACTGCTCTTCCAGGGGTCCTGAGTTCAATTCCCAGCAACCACATGATGGCTCATAACCATGTACAATTCAATCTGGTGCCCTCTTCTGGCATGTAGGCAGAACATTGTATATGTAATAAATAAATAAATCTTAAAAAAAAAAGAATATGAGTATCCATCCCTCAGAACCCACATTTAAAAAATAAGGCATGGTTGCATGTGTTTGAAATTCTAGATGTGAGTAGTCAGAGGAAAACAGGGAAAGAAAAGTAAGAATTTAGCATTATCAGCATAGATGTTACTTTTTGTTTATACTGTTCGGTTCCAAAGTGGTTGGCTCGGGTGCTACAGCACTGAAATCCTAGAGTGTGTGGTTTGTGGACTGTGGGTGTGTGGGCACTCACACACCTGGTCCTCTCCTGAATAGAGAGATTCACTCCTATCCTCTAGATACAGAGCTCCCTGTGCCACTGCACAGGAGACAATACAAAGTTCCAGCCATGACAATGGGGATTATGGGAATCAAAGGACATTGATAATGGAAAATAAACAGAAATACTGTCAAATAGAGAGGTGTTTTAAATATCTTAAAATGTGTTAATTTGTGGCTCTGTAAAAGGCTTGACACGTTTTGCAAAGCATCACTGTGGTTTAGCAGGAATTCTTACTCAAATCTTCATTACTTCATGAGCATAGTAGTTCAGAACAAACAGCTGGTTTGTACCTGCAAAAGATAAAAAGTCTTATCTAATCTTTCAATTCTAGATCTTCTATACTAAACATTTAGGAGTTTGTTTTAAATGTGTGATTTTAATTTTTAGCACAAAATATATGGAAAGCAATGGACATATGTTAATAATCAACGGGGGGGGCAATTTCCAGGCATGCAGATAGTGGTTTATAAGACATGGACTCTGCAGTGATCTGCAAATCTGTGGGAAGAACAGGAGAATGTCTACCAGACAACAGCCCATCTTTAATAAATGTTGGTAGAGCCACAATACATTGCATTATGTGAGATTTTCTGAATTTAAAGCACATGCACTACAACTTGCATTCAGCTCCAATACATGAAACCAAAATATCACTTTAAATTTTCCTTGAAATCCTAGGGGGAGGATGGACAGTAATTTTGAGTCCTGATGATCAGAGAACCTAAGGTATAACACATGAGCTTTTCTCCAATGACAGCTCAGTTCTTGCACCTGATTGGCAGTGTGATTGGTACATTATGTTGCAGAGATAACACCTAATTTGCAGAACAAAGCATCAATGAGCCTGGGTAGGTCCACTCAGCTCTGATAAGAAAGAAGAACAAAAGGATAATCACAAGTGAACAACACCCTTTTCCCCTCCATCTTTTCTGTTCTCCCATCTCCATCTCTTTCTCTGTCATTATCCCAGTGTCTCCAACCTTCATTGCATTCTATTTTATATTACATGGGAGAACAATCAAACACCATCTTGCATACAGAAAAACCTACTCAGGGGAAAGAAAATGAAGCATTGTCAAACCATGCTCCACTTTTGTTTCAGTTTTTATTTGTGTATAGTTACAGGTGCATGAAAATACAACAATTTACACAGAAAGTTCACTTGCAACTTTGCCTGGTTCCCTCTGCAATGTAACATGTAAGACATTGGTATAATCCACAATTTCCTATTTTAATGTACTTCTCTCTCTACTCTACCCCCCGGATGTGTGTGTGTGTGTGTGTGTGTGTGTGTGTGTGTGTGAGAGAGAGAGAGAGAGAGAGAGAGAGAGAGAGAGAGAGAGAGATTTGTATGTGTGTTCTTAGTTCTATGAGACTCTAACACCACAAATGTCAGTTCAAAATAATTATATCATGGCAAGGCTCACTCATCCTGCATCCTACCTATCCTTAATATTTCACTATCATTAATCTATTCTCCAGTCCTTTAGTTTTGTATTTCAAGACTATGACTTCTTCTTTAAGGCAGCTTTGTCATTTGAGATTCATTACCCACTGTTTCAGAAGCCATCCTTTCATTTGCTGTAGGGGTTTCCATAGTGTGATATATAGGTACCATACACTGCTCAGTTGATAAGTTATGTTTGTTGGTATTCTAGACCTTGGTAACTATGAATATTTGTACACCCATTGAATTTTTCATTAAACCTTTGGATGATTTCAGGTGGCTTATATAGTCAAAGGCTGCTACTACCCTTCATGAAGTGAAGACTGTAAAGCTTTGGCCACTGTTGTCTATGGATGCCACGTGGGTTATTCTCTATAAAAAGTCAAAAATAAATTTTTATTTTTACAAATCATATATTATTATTCACCTTTTTCTCTCTTGAGAAATAGAAGACTATTATTTGCATATATTTCCACTGAAGATCTAAGAGAGATAAGCTTCATATATACTAACAAAACCATATTATTCAAATCAGTGCCCAGCTTTGACATATTCATAACACACACATATTCATAACAGGAATATACCTATATTCATGTGTGTGTAGAAAAGATGAATGAAAAGCTGGGAGATTTATGTACACATGCACACACATGCTCAAGAATCACACTCATGTTCAAACTCATACACATAATCAGAGAAAACAATAGAACAGGAGTTTAAGTTTATTTTACTCAGGAGTTGAGGTATTTCAGTGAAGATGACTTAAAGGACTGGTACTTGGAATATCTTGCTGGGAGCATCTATCAGCAAAAAGTTACTACTCTTTTCCCACTCCCTACTCTAAACTGCAGTCATGAGCAGTCAGCTTCCAGATCCAGAGAGCTCTGAACTCCAAAGATCAGAAAATAAAGTGCTCAAATTAATAAACCTCTGCCTGTGAGTCACAAAAGAATGCCAATGTTAACTGATCCATGTAGCAATGTGCAGTTCAACAGTATTAACACATAAACTACACAAATGGTTCATTAAATGCTTTGGACTGCACTTTACCATAGGAACCCTAGCGATCAAAAATTACAATTTACTATACTCAAATTTTTGGAGTGCTCACTGGCAGAGATACTATGATATTTTATTTTCTAAAGTAGAGTTCTCCAAATAGTGTAAATTCCTTGTGTACTAGTAAAATCATTTAAAAAGTAATTTCTAGCCCATGCATGAGAAGATTCTCAGGATCTGTGGAAGGAGATATAGCATGAGAAATTCATATTTCATAATACATCATTTGTTGCTGCTTTCAATATTGGACAGTGTACATAATATGCCTCTTGTAATATAGCTACAATCAACTCTGAAACTATAAAATTAATTTCAAGAAGAGAAACTTGAATTCATTTCCTTCCCATGGTAAGTGCTCAGCTTTTGTGTAGCTAGCACATTTTTGGATGATGGAGCCTTGGGCTAATTCTTTGTGTTTGTGATAAACTGGAATCTGTACTTCTAAGGAATTAAACCCAAATGGCATACATGCTTTTTCTGTCTTGCTTAACTCTAGCTGGCTCACTCTCACATGTGCTGTGGCCCTTTGTGATACACACAGGAGCAACTTTTACTCTGGCTACCCTGGGGGATCATGTGTGCTTTGCTGTATCAACTGCTTGCAGATTTTGTCAGTAATCAATGCCAACAAAATTAGCTTAGGAATTAGCTTCTGGCTCAAACTTAAAGAAATTCATAAGAGCAATTTGAGTCCTATATATTTTCTCATATGGTTTTGAAAACAGAAAATTATCCTGGTTTTCACTATAGCAAAAGTAATGGCAAACACCAGGAGAGACAGTCTATATGGCACTGGTTGGAGAAACTTACAGTTCAAAAGCAAGTGTTCTTTCTTTTTAAATCATATACCCCTGTTTTAGTCCTTATTTTAGTTTTGGTGAAAGCATAAATTCTGCAGAACCTGTGACATAGTCATGTGGTAATATTTATCTGTCCCCAAGCAAAGACAAGTTGACTTCTATGTGAATGTATCATGGAAGCTCATTTTGTTTTGTGAGTTGGCCATTCTTTCCCAAGTGTTTGTTCCTCAGGATTCTATTCAAGACATCCCTCATGATACCAAAACCTATGTTCCCATCTCTGTTCTGTGGACTTAGGTTCTTTAGAATCTTAGTTTTCATGAATCCCTATGAGAAAGGTATCCCTATCTTTCAAATGAGGAAACTGACAGTTAGACAGCAGACATGCCAAAGACTCCATTGATTTTCACACAAACTCCTTGAACAGGACTCTTGATACAGTACCTCCCAGCTCTGTGAACTTGACTGTAGATAACCTTGTCATATTGTCACTTAGGTAAATCCACTTTCCATCACTATAATACAATACCTGAGATAAGTAACATATAAAGATTAAAATTGTTATTTGGGCACCCAACTTTGCAGGTTTCTGTCAGTGGTTGGTTGAATTCATTACTGAGCATATCACAATGAGAAAATGTGGCGAGGCAAACTCCTAACCACACTAATAATACAAAAGAAAGTAGAAGGCCAGAGTCCCACAATCCCTGTGTGGGGTCATGTTCAATGACTTAAAACACACACACACACACACACACACACACACCGTCTCTCAAGAATGCCACAGTCTTTCCATAATTTCTGCTTGGGACCACATCTTTAACACATGAACCTTTGGGAACCTTCAAGTAGCAAACTATAGTGAAAGTCAGGGGAATCTGGTGACATGTCCCTTCTGTATCCTCAAAGCTACACTGTGACTGTGATGTTCAACTGGGGCTATTTCAGGGACAGAAGCCACAAGCAGTAACGAAAGGGTAAAAAAAAAAAGATATATGCCCTAACAGACTAGGAAGTGGAATGCACATATAAAAAAGCCGCAGTGGCCATAGCAAAGTACCACACATCAAACAGACCA